GATTTGTATAAGTATCACATGATGCTGTTGGGCAGTGAACAATGTTTTTTTTTGTTTAACTTTCCAGTAAAAGTTAATTGTTAATAAAAAAAATAAAATAAAGCAATAATAAAAAAGATATTAAGCACAACCTCTATCCACAGTAATTGCAGTTTCAACAATGAACTCTCACCAGGCCAGAAAGTGTCTTTAACCTTTCAGCCAGTCCTGGTGTTTTTATATTGTGCATTGCTCATAATCACCACTATATATATTGATCCATCAGCACACTACACACAACCTACCGACTCCTAGCTTTACTTATGAAAAAACATAAAAGAAACGCATAATTTCAAGAAAGAAATCTTTTGTTTCAATTCATTTTTGTTTGATTTTTATATTTCTGTTCTATGAGCATATGGTATTGAAATAAAAAATATGTTCACTAAACAGTGACTTGGGTGTAATTTGCAAACACATTTTAATTATGACAATATAGGCTAGCCAGAAAAATAGCTAGAAAAAATTTCCTTTAACCCCTTGAGGACACATGACGGAAATATTTCGTCATGATTCCCTTGTATTCCACAAGTTGTGTCCTTAAGGGGTTAATCTATCAATATAGCTGTAATTTCACTACAATTGAGCAAATAAACCCCTTTATTAATTGTACCACAGCTTTCATAAATGCATAATTTTTTACTGAAACACTAAGGTCATACCCTACCCGTAATAAACTACATTAGTTCATTGTTTTGAATCCTAGGGTATTATACAGATCTTGTGAACATTTTTGTCAGACAGTACTATTTAGTATAGATTAGCTACAGCGCCTTTAGGGATTAAATGCCCCACTCTAGCCGAGTTTTCCTAGGAATGGAACACGTGCTGGGAATATACAGAGAAATTCCTTCATGGCGCCCAACCTGTAAGGCTATACATTTATCAAGAACCCAATATTGGTCACAGTGAGTGTATATTCCCCCGGGTCAATGCTGCTGCATACATCTTTACAGGAGATTTAGATCCTTTTGCTGATATTAGTCAGCCTCAAATATCCTTCTCATCTAATTCACAGCTTGAATGTCCTCACCTATCAATATTTGTTTTTGCCTTCGATGTGTTGAAGGATGCCTGGAAAAGGACAGTTTATTGACCTGATAATATTTTGCCCTCGTGTTGACATCCCTTGTTTGAAACAGTTCTTTGGCATATTGTTTTTTTTTTTTTAGCATTTTGTTATGATTGTATCACTGTCCTACCAACACATTCAGTTCCTGTAGTCAATTGAAGGATTAGCCGAGCTGTTAACTACTTTGGATTATTTTTCAAATAAATTTACATAATTTCCATTCAATGCCTTGATGGAGTCTAGAATCTATTGAAATGTAACTTGAATATCCCTTAGATAGTGAATCCATGGGATCTCATATATAACATGCAGACAGCAGTCTTGTTTGTGACAGATATAATTTTGAAGTCTACAATCCTCTTTTTAACATTCAAAGGAATTGTACTGTTTTGCTTATTTTTGACGTGAGACATGGAGAGCACTGCACTTCGGAACATACAGAGTGATATATTTTTGTGTTATTTTTTTTTCATGCTCTTTGTCTATTTTTGTGTTTAACAAAAAAAAAATTTCATACTAGAAAAAAAAAAAAACATACTCAGACACAGTAAATGATAATGATAATGTTCATTGAAAATAAAGAATTTAACTAAACCACTCTAAAGTCCCCCGCTGGGCTCAGGCAAGCTGAAATTAATTCAGGACGACAGATAAAAATTTTAACCAGCCCGAGTGGAGATGACGGATGTGACAGCTCTCAGTTAAACTGTCTTTTAGTGGAAAATGTATGTGTGTTGCTCAAGAGATGTGACATAACTGTCGTGGGCACTAGAAAATGAACCAGTAACAATTTGCATCAGGAACAAAGGAAAATTATCTCACAACAACAATGGTAACGGAAGAAATATCTAAAAGCTGGAGAAAAAAAAAATCGCTGCGTGGATTTTTTTTCTGCATGCTTGTCATGATTACAATTTTTTCCACTTCCATTATATGCGAACAAATTATTAGCAATGATCTTTTGCTTTAGATGATATTGACACGTTTGGGACAAATATAGACCACTCGGCTAAAATTCTTCGGCATCTAAATTGAGAAACACAATATTTACTTAGAGGAGGTTTGCAAAATACAATAAGATTTACATTATGAGAATACTTCATGGTCTTTGTTTATCTTATATTTTGAGCTGTAAAGATTAGTTGATCTATTTTAATGTATTCTTGAGCCGAGTTGACTTTGCTTGACCTGTCTTGATTTAAACTAGATTTAGAGACAGATCAGTCATACTTGTAGTTTATTGCAAAATGGTGTAGCTCAAACATTTCGGAAGGCCTGTGCTTGGGTAGCCGGATATTGCTGGGTAGTCAAGTCTATTGAAACCTTAGACAGTAAGTGAGTTTACCACGTAAAAGTCATTTTATATTACGCCTTAGGAACAGATGCTAGTAAGTCACAGTTGCTCCCATCTCGAGCTGTTGGTGTAATTTCGTTTTCTTTATTATTCTGCCTATTTTTTCCCTTTATAATCAAATTGAATTATCATAATGTTGTTATTACGATGCGTCTCTTACTGTGAACTCCAATAACATTCAAGGCCACAGCTGGGATGTGTTATAGTAATTCTAACCAAAAATATAATATAGGTGTGATTAGTATATTAAAGTGCAAAATGCATCAGTTAATCACAATAAATCAACTTATTGGTTTATTTCATTTCCAGTGCAGACAACAGGCAATATTTACAATATGTAAGGATGTATATGTACCATACACATGTGGGCCTTATATCACGATTTAAAGTATATGGCATTCTTAAGTTTTGGAAAACAATAAGGAAAACAAAATTATAAAATTCTTCTAAAATACCTGGACTAAATGAGATGTGAGGGGGACAGCATTGTTCACGACCAATAACCAGTACTTATTTCACAACATTTATATAACTATCTGACTTCTGGACACTGGCTGTTCCCAATATTTCCTCAATCTGTCAACAGGATGCTCCAGGGTAGAAAGGGTTATTCTATCACACTGAAATTGTAATTGTGTCATATTAAAATAAAAACCAAGAAACTCTGGAATCACTCCAGAGTAAACAAACAAACAAAAAAATTATTTTTATATATATATATATATATACCACTTAATTAAATAATATATAAAATCATGAAACTTGACAATCTCAGCCAATCCAATGCTTTCCCATAGGAAAGCCTGGATGCCATAATGCCATGCTCCACGAATCAGCATCTCCACATAGAGATGCATTGTATTACTGCATCTCTATAGGGAGCATTCAGCATCTCCATGCAGAGAGTGAAGACGCTAAAAGACAGTTCTGCACACTGTGCAGCACTGACCCAGGAAGCATCTCTAGTGGCCATCTGAGTGACTGGCATTAGAGGTGTTACTAGGCAGTAATGTAAATGTAGTGTCTACATTAAAAGTCCTGCAAGGATAGGCTTTAGACACCAGAACAACTACACTAAGCTGTAGTTGTTCTGGTGGCTGTAGTATCCCTACACCGCAGCAGGGAATTACCAAAAGGAGAGTTATGGTAAGGCCATAAACTGTAGCAGAATTTTGAAGTATGGACATATTTGTTTGTTTTATAGAAGAACATTCTGATGCAGAAACTCTGGTAACGTCTTTGGAACATGCAGGACTAACCAGGAACTGTGACAGATAACCACTATGTGAATCAATTAATGAGAAATACAGTACTTTACAAGAATTTTAGAATTAGAATAGATACTATCATGTTTCAGTGATTTTAATCAAGCTGCAATCGTTTTGCTTCATGGTCACTAGACATGGGCGTGATATGCTTTTCTTTAATGCATATTTTCAAACTTCTTTGTATCTTCAAAATCCCTTCAAATGTCCCACAATGAAAATGAATAAAATCTCTCACAACAAAAATATAAACTGAAGTATCCTAAATTACCCCAATAGCAACAAATACATGAATGTGCATTTAAAGCAATTGTTTAATGTTTTGTAGAACCTCTATCAGAATTGGGCATGTGGCAAAGTTCTTTAATTTTTGTTTCTGGGCAGGACATTTTAACTAATCATTAGTGGTAATCATAGGATGTTATGGATACATATGTTAAGACTGGCTTGAGAACACAACTGCTGCTGGTGAGATGACCACCATGAAATAATAAACACCATTAGTCTTCTTGACAGGTCCACCTTCACTAATGATAGATCTACCTGAGTGACATATCTAAAATGAATGCTGTTTGAATAGTTAAGGTTGAAAAGTGAAAATACTGTGGGAGATAAAAAAGCAATGAAACTTTTAGACTCAACATATTGATTGCTAATGCTAGTAAACAGTGACACATTTCGATCTCTGGTGAGGCAATCATATTTCCCATTTAATTTCCAATTTTCTCGACACTTTAGCATGATATCAGAGGTCGCAGGTTGCAAACAGAAAATGAAATCTTACATGTGCATTATTAATTCAATGTAGTATTAAGCGTAACAGTATTATGTACCATGTGCTGTAAAAAGACTGCTGATATACAAGGTGAAAGTCAGATTGGTGGGAAAATGAAGAATGATTTACATGATGATGTATACTGTAGTGATTATGGTGCTCGAAAGCTATTGACACGTATCCTTTAAATATACATTTCCATTAATTTTAAGGTTCAGGAAATCTGTATAGCACCCTTAAACAATGGGCAGGAATAAAAATGATTTCCTAGTGCATATATTATAGAAAACATTTAGTATTATTGGAATTCTCAGAGAAACGTTCAGCATTGCTGAGTTCAGAAGGTTTTCTATATCAATTTGCTAAAGCCCAAAGGAGTATTCGTGACTAGTGATGTCCCGAACGGTTTGCCGAATGGTTCGCGAACGGTTCGCCACGAATGGTTCGCCACGGACTCATCATTGAGTAAACTTTGACCCTGTACCTCACAGTCAGCAGACACATTCCAGCCAATAAGCAGCAGACCCTCCCTCCCAGACCCTCCCACCTCCTGGACAGCATCCATTTTACATTCATTGTGAAGCTGCATTCTTAGTGAGCAGTCCAGGAGGTGGGAGGGTCTGGGAGGGAGGGTCTGCTGCTAAGTGGCTGGAATGTGTCTGCTGACTGTGAGGTACAGGGTCAAAGTTTACTCAATGATGAGTCCGTGGCGAACCATTTGTGGCGAACCGTTCGCGAACCGTTCGACGAACCGTTCGGGACATCACTATTCGTGACTTTGAAATCATGAGGCCCAACAGACTTGCTGCGATTTGGTGTAGCTGAGGCTTCTTGAACTTTAAAGATTCCAAGTACAATTCACCCCTTTGCTAGCTTGATGTTTTCCATTTTCTGTGCCTTTAAACAGTTGTCCTCCATATATTTGTTTACATGTATAAACGTCATGCACTTAGACCTATTCCTGTCCAACTAATTCATCATCTATCAACTCAACAATACAAAATACATTGTGCTCAATATTCTCGACAGAAACAAGTACACAGCATTATGTCCATAATACAACCTCTCCTTTATGAAAAAAATATGTATTTGTTTTTGAATGACAATTTAATCTGCATTTCAAGGAGTAGGGTGATGGTAAGGATCATAAATGGTTCCAATGGCAATTATTTCTTTGAATATTTTGAAATATACATAAAGATTCAAATATCTACAATTCCATTAAAGTTTTATATATTTTCATGTAACACATTGAAAGACTAGCCGTTGCTTGAAAAAGTCCTTTCTAAACATTTGTTATATATGTGACTTTCATTTTGTCCTTTACCTTTCAGTTTGTATTGTACACTTGATCTTTAAGGTCACAATAAGAGCTAAAACTGAAAAAAACTGGTTCCATTGCCATGGTGCTACTTCACACAATTCAGCTAAGGGAATAAGCTACAAGTCATGACTCAGACAATCACGGGTCTTCTTTTCTGTAACGAATAAAAGAAGTTTTGACTGGTTGCAGAGATAAGATTGCTTTAGTTCTGCAAAGACTGGCAAACATATCTAAACTCATGTGATGCCTTTGAAGTTGTGTGATAACAATGTCTTTGATATTACAGGCTTCCTTGAGTTCAATTTGATTTACTTAATAAGTGTGGCCTGTTTTCTCATACATCTCACTGGAACATAAGATTCATTCATATTATGTTTCCAAAGTTTGAATTAGTTCTTTATGTGTTAAGGACACAGACTCAATTATGGGTTAGCCTGCGTGTACACACGCACACCCTAGAGAAGAAAACTGAGTTCAACGATAGTTAGTACCACCTAACATGACACATGGGGTCGTATCCCTATAATATCACTGGCCAGCAACTTCCTGTGTCAGGACAAATTAATATAACAACATAAACTATATATGTCTATGCTGAAACTTGCCAAAACATGGTCTTCTACTCCCACACCAGACCACCAAACTGTCTTGGCAGGACAATAGTGTTTCCTGATAATATTCTAATATTTTACTGTAACCTCGATCATACTATTGTAGTAATAGTTACCCTTTTGCACGCTAGTGTCTGCGCTATTAAAACATAGTTCATAGCATATGGGATCAGGCATTTTCCAAACGACCCCTCTCCCTTTACATTGCTGTTTTCTTTTTTTTTTTTTTATTATTATGCTTATTTTCAAAGTTTTACACAAGGAAAAGTAGGGACTGAACCTTGACAAAAGTTGGCAAAGAGTGGAGCTTTTATCAAGCTCTGCAGCCTTTGTTATGGGCTGTGTTTTTTATCAACTCATCTCCCTCCATGGTGCGTCACATCCTGAAGCAATGTGTCTCTGATCCTTACTATTGGCTATCTCTCAATTGTGAGAGTCAATGCTGAAGTCAGTGGAAGCTACCGGATCTCATCTACACACCCAGGAAAGGGCAGAAGATACAATTTCCAGTTGCTGTCATCAAAGAAGCTTTGAGATGCTGCCCTTGACAAAGAAATCTTGGTCGGACCTGAACAACTTTAAAATCTATCATTTGAATAGGTCCTGGGGCCAGACATCTTAATTTCAATTTTTGTGTTTTGTTGTCTTATTTGAATTCTGTAAACCATGCTGCTGATACATCATACTTCTATGTAGTCACATGTTGACTGATTTTACAGGCAGTCTTAGAACCACTTTTTGTGGTTCTAACTGTCTATAAAGTCAGTCAACATTTAATTTTATATCTCTCTAATTGTATAATTAGTTTAATAGTGTCTCATATATGTATATATAGAGTGGGCCAAAATTCAGAGTAGGAGTCGACAGGTAAATAACTTATTTGTTAGTAGTTCACATTCTGTACCTAGTTAAAGAAATCCCTATATGTTAAGCATTCATTGTATGCATATCATTAGAAATTGGTTCATTAATAAAAAAAAACATTATTAACTCCTCAAACTCTACTCTGAATTTTGGCCCACCCTGTATAAAGCATAAATATTTTTTACATCAACATTTTTACTGAATGAAATAAAGGATATCAAATAATGAAAATAAGTCCTTGTGAATAATGTTTATCAATTCTTTCAAGAAATGTTATTTTAAATCTAATTTGTGATGATTTTTTACAGTGCTGTGGAGTGTGTTAATGTGTTTTAGTAAACTATGATAATTCTTACTTGGAGGAAGGATACTATATCAATTATATAAAATAATTTGTGGTGATTGATTGTTTATATCACCAACAGAATTTGCAAAACAGAGTAATGAGCAGTTGCTTGTAAACTCCGGGATCAATCATGATGCATTACATATGATCTCTGATGAAAGCCATTTGCAAAAAGGTTAAATATAATCTTAGGTTAATTTATACTAATGTCATTACATTTGCATGGAATTGCATTAAAATTAGACATCGTGGGAGTCTAATGCAAATTATATATTTTTTCCACTGGATCTTGAGTCGAAGAATATTGTTGAAACCAGACAAACTAAATATATAGCTTTTTTTTTTTTTTTGCAGCTCATTGTCAATTCTTCTGTTTTGAATTTACATGAAAAATGGCTGCTATTAGTCGCTAATGGAAAATTATTTCTGGCTTAAAGTGTACACTTACTACAAACAGAAAATTCATTAAAAAAAATAAAGTCAGATCTCCATATAACTTTTATGTAATACTTTATAAAATATGCACTTTTAGAATAAAAGGAGAAATTGTGTTTTATTCTCTTGATGCTGCTACAGTGGTCAAACACTAGCAGAAAGCGCGTTTGTAAGATTTTATTTAAGTGCTTTGTCTAGCAGCCTCGGTCATGCATGTCTTATCAAAATGCTAATAAACAACTTAAGGCTGTACATTGAACTGCAAAGTATTTTATTACATTGCCGTCTCTTCACATGCTATTAAATGGAGGAACAAAAGGTGTTTAAGCTCTTGGTTTCAGACATACATTATAGTTCTGTTTTGATTTTTGTTCAATCAATGTACTTCACCCAAAGAGTTTTTTTAAGATCATCGCCGGGTGCAGTAAGTAAAGAAGGAATTAAAGACTGTTAGCGGAACAGTAATATTTGATATGTTTGAGTTACCTTAATAAAGGAAAGGTAGACTGCTAACAGCTCAAAATAACCAGGTTTCAGTCATCCAATGACTCTCAATAGTGTCAAAAGCCTTTATTGACTGATCTTAGGCAATAGCGGTTTGTGGAGACATTTGTTGTAAACTGAGACAGTGCTGATTATAGACAGTCTTTGAGAAGAGCTTCATTAAGAGGAACAGATTAGTGCTTTGAGTGGCCGAAGGGTCGGTGCCGAGATAGCCTTGAACTATGTTGTAGTGTACTGGGAAAGTGTTTTTGTGGCAATCGTAATGTACATACGTTTTCTGTATAGTTTGTGTCCAATTATCTGCACATAGAGAGAACTATAAGAGGTGAAAAGTCCTATAGTACATGGCAATGTTGTCAGAAAAGACAACATTGCCAGGTACTATAGGACCACAGCTGATATGGTGGGTTTTTAACTCAGGAAACATTTATAATAAAGATTTTGTGAGCAGGGCAGAGGAAGCAAAGAGGCAGTGATGAGTGGAACCGGACAGGCTATGTACAAGACATTTAAGTAATATATAGTCATATGTATATATCTCTAACAGCTGTCATAAAAATAGTGCACAAGGTGACTGCCTCCTAGGATGTCCAGTCTAGATGTCAGGAATTTAAATAGCTCGGTATATGTTGACACGGCATGGCATTTGAGGTGATGTTCCTTCCTGTTTATGCTGGTTAAGTTCTTAGAACTTCATGCACATGTATCTGAAACAGATGGTTGATGACATGCACCAGGAAGAGGGAATGGTGCACATTATTCCATCTACTTAGTGTCTGTATTTCTAAATTCACTTATGTTAAGATTTATAACTTAATGTTTTGCAACTGTCCTAATTGAGGTACATTAGAAAATGGATTGAATTTAATGTGCAAATAAATCTAACAGTGTAATTCAAACGTCTCATATTATGCAAACCATTACACACGCAAATGGAGCTAGGGATGTTTAATTTACCTATTTGACAACACTGCAGAATGTGTCGGTGCTTTATCAATAAAATCAGCAGTAATAATTGGAATAATTGAGTTTATTCTACAGAGAGGGCAAACGAGCGTTAGAAAGTTAATCGTAACAGATTGGGTATTGGTCTCCATATAGATATCTTGTAAGAATGCATACATCTTGGTGAAGAGTGGAAGACTCTGAGAATAGGTCAGTCAATAGATCAGGTATCCCAAGAGTAAAGAGATAGACTAAAGAAATTAAGATGTCCCCAGATAACTTCATTCTATTGGAGAAGAGTATCTGGTCACAGGTAAGAAATAACACCAGGGTTTTGCAGAAAGTGTACTACAAATACCTAATTCCTCAAGAATCTCAAATCTCAGTTGTTGCCATATGCTAGATGATGTAGGAGAGACTCATTAGTGACTCCAGCCAGAAGAATATCCCCACAGTAGAACTGAAATCACTTGCATCAACTGGGAAACATGTTTACAGTTTTTACAGAGCTCTGAAGATGTCTGCCTTACTGGCAAGAGACAAACTACAATTTCCAGAAACCCAGTGAGGACATTGTGTTTAGCTGTATTACTAAAGATAAATGGAAAAACACTGCCAGTTGTGAGGAAGGGAC